ATATTTCATTGGTAATTATATAATAATAGAGTTTATTTATTGAGGGGAGGGGGGGGGGGGGTGTCCTCTCTGAGTTGAGAGTTGTGTGATAAGAATGCCGTACATAGTGGATACTGACAACACAAGTCTCTCTGTTCTTTTTTTATTCCAGCTAGAGAATGTTCGTGTTTTACAGCTAGCACTTTATCAAGGTCGACCTTCAAAAAAAGCTGGTTTAACTTTGGTGAGTCCACTGAATTATGCCAGAAGTCGTAGTTTAATGATCACAACAATCTTTTRGTCCAACAAAGGCGTAACGTAAAAAACGTATGTAGAGTTACAAACTCTTCTTACACTGTTGATTAAACATTATTTCAATCCAAGACCTGACAATAAGGTAGTATTCCCAATCAAACCAATTCCACTCAATCGATTACTGAATAAGCTTGGGTTTGCTATGTTTCGGGTTGCTATGTTGCAATATTCTAAAACACATTGAGCTAATGTTTATTCTTCATATTGACTCTTGTTCGTACAGGAGATCCAGGCCGCTGATAATCCTTCATTGTCCAAAGAAGCAACAGACCCTACTTTATTCTGTACTGGCTTCAAAAARAACAGATTTTATATTTTCTCTTCCAGGGGACCAGAATTAAGGTACCCATTAATAATATATTGCCAAGGTTATGAACGCAAAGTTGTGCAATGCAACTTCCTTCCTTCCCTCCATTCCTCTGTCCCTACATCCCTCCGTCCCTCCCTCCCTCTGTCCCTCCCTCCCTCTGTCCCTCCCTCCCTCTGTCTCTCCCTCCCTCCCTAAATCCCTTCCTCAATTTCATCTGTTTGTTTATTAATACTTCACTACTAACAATTGGTTCTTAATATGTTTGTCAGTGAAGAGAATGATCGTGATGTATTTAATGAAAAACCATCAAGAGAAGAAATCATGGCCACAACTCAGGTACACTGTAGAATGACGATTTCACTTGTAAAGTTGCGTCTCGCTCACAGATTTTTCTTGCAAAACTTTTCCCATTATTTTTGCGATATTTTCGAGATTTATTTTAGAAGTTTGGAATTCGAGGGTTGATTGGATTCATATTTGAACAGATCATTTATATTTCCCACTTAATTTCTTCAATGGAAAAGCAAACCCTAATGGTTTTAGCTGCAGTTGGTTGTATGTCGCTGCTTATAGTTAGTAGAAACATGCTCAAGTAAAATACACAGAAAGTTCATATTTCCACACACAGAAAGGCTTTGATTAGACAGGGCAGGAATGTTTTCCTTCTTTTTCAATCAGGGTAGATTAAACATTTAGTGGAAAGTRATAAAACAAATGGGAATTAAGAATAATTTCATGGAAAAGTGGCTTTTCCACTGGAAGACAAATCTTTTGTTTACATAGCATTTTTTTTTTCTTTCTGATTCAGGGATCAGGAGCGCCTGCTAAACTACCCACCCAAGCTACTATACATACTACCATGGGAGATATGRCCATACAGTTATTCGCCAAAGAGTAAGTTTTATCAATCTGACAAAGTCATGGCTATACATAATGGCTGTGGCTTGTCTCTCTGTGTGCTGTAAGCCGCAGCATGGAC